TGTGGATCATAACAAGTTGTGGCTGACATTGAGAAAAATGGGAATCCCAGAGCACTTAATTATGCTCCTGTGAATCCCGTAGCTGGACTAGGAGGCTGCTGTGCAAGCAGATCAGGGGAACACTGCATAGTTTAAAATTAAGAAGGAATTTCATCAGGGTTGTACTTTCTATGTATACCTATTTAACCTATATGCTGAGCAAATTATTTGAGAAGCTGGGCTCTATGAAGAGAAATATAGTACCAACATTTTATGGAGACTCATCAATAACCTTCATTATGAAGATGGCACGACCTTGCTTGCTGGAAGTGAAGAGGACTTGAGGCAGAGGATCTAGAAGATCAAGGGCATTGCAATGTTCAATTTGGATTGCATCTCAATGTGAAGAAAACAAAGATTCTACCACTGGACTGATAGGCAGCATCATGGTAAATGGAGATGAGAGAGAACCTGTCAACAACTTCATCTTACTTGGATTCACAGTTAACACCCTTAATATCAGTAGCTAGGAAATTAAGAGATATATTGCACTTGTGAAGTATGCAGTTATGGATTTCCCCAGTTTATTTAGGAGTAATGATGTCAGTTTGAGGCCTAAGGTGCATCTGATTCAGGCCGTGGTCTTATCTGAAAGCTCAAGAATAAATAGGGATGACAGATGAATTGATGCTTTTGAGTTGTGGTGTTAGAGAAGAGTTCTGACCATCCCATGGACTGCCAAAAGCACAAGCAAATATGTCTTGAAGAAGGTGCAGCCAGAGTGCTCTTTGGAGGTGAGGATGATGAGGCTTTGCCTCACGTACTTCGAGCATGTTGCTAGGAGGTTCTTTACCTTGGAGAGAGACATAATGCTGGGAAGGGTGGAGGGTCAGTGAAGGAGAGGAAGACCCTCAACCAGGTGGATTGACATGGTACTGCCACAATGGGCTCTAGTGTGTCAGGAAGTGTGAAGATAGTATAGGATAGAACAAGGCTCAGTTCTACTGTTCATAAATAAGGTCACTATGATTCATACTCGAATCAAGAGCACCTAAACAACAATAACAAAGAAACTCCTTAGGAAAACTGTTGGATAGGATGCCAGGAAAACATGTTTACAGATGTTCTTTATCATGTTGTTCAGAGCCAAAAAACCAAGAAACAACTTGAATGTCATCTCTACCCTTTACTGTCAAGTTGATTTTGACCCAGAGAGCTTGAATATGCAAGTCAAATTGGGCTCCCATAGGATTGTCAGTGGCCAGTTTTTCGGAAGTAGATTGCCAGACTGATCTTGTAGTTGCTTCTGGGTGAACTTGAACTGCCAGTGCTTTGATTAGTAACTTAGTGTGCTAACCATTTGCACCATCCAAAGACTCCTATGGAAATAATTTGAAATTTACAATGCAAAAATAATGTGAATATTATTTATGGTAACCAGGCAAGAACCTAGATGAAATCAAGATATCTTCACTTGGTGGTTACCTCTCTGGAGAGATCATGGAGAATAGGATCTATGTTAAAGGAGATTTCATGTTTTTTGTACTTTTCATTGAAAACAAATGTAGTTAAATGTCAACATTGTTGAAAGCAGGGTGTTTGGTAAAGCAGTGTTTATACTATCTGTATCTTGACTTACTGCTCCTAGGATCTTTGCAATAAAGTCATCATAATCTTTCCTTAAGAATTATTACACGTCCAGCCATTGACTATTGGAGCATGCTTTCACTTGCACCAACTCTGTCTTGTGACTCTAATTCCAAGTGATTCATATAGTCTTGCTTTTACTTGCTTGGTAGAGATTTGTAATCCCAGCAGTTGAAGTGATGGCAGGGTAAACTGAAATTCACAGACTGAATGCCTCCAGCCCAACAAGACCCTGTGTGGTCAAAAACACTGGTTGCAAATTGAACAGAGAGGTAGCTAGCTGCTCCTTGCAAATTGAAGAGAACCGTGTAGCTTCCACAGACTTTCTCGAGAACCTAAGATAGTGCCGTTGCTTTTACTTAACTGGTTCATTTTGTTCATCCCTCTTAGATGGCTTTTCCTGAGCTTCAGAACGTGTGTAAATGTAAGTTTGCACTCTGAGTTGATAGGGGATGCAGACTTACTCTTGATTGTGTGGTCAGATTCATGTACACATGTCAGGCTTGTACTGGTTTGAAGCAGAGAGCTTGACTTGGCCTAGTTGTGTTTTTCTCTCTCCAAACAAAGGTGCATATAAATGAACATGCACTCAATGTAGGATTCTAACTATTCAATATGAAATTACTGACTTCCTCCCTCAAGCTTCCTTTGATTTGAATAGTGTTCCACCAAACGAATTCAAGCTATTTTTAAGAGGTTTCTTGGCTATGGTTTCCTAATTCTGATAAGCACACTATTCTCACATTTACATTGTAAGGAAAATTATGATGTCATCAATTCTTTTTTCATTCTGCAATCAGTCCCTTTCTTCCCTCATAAGATAAATGACCTATATTTCTTATGTCTTAGAGTATTGTTCCTCTTCTTTTAAAAAAGGGTTTGTTTATAATTTTAGCCTTGAGATTTTGTACCATTTGGTATTGTCAGTAATTTTCCAACAGGCTAGCGTTTGTAACCACGCTGTCTGGCCATTTATATGTTAGTAATCTTTTTCTCACATAGATCTTTCCCACATTGGTAATTTAGCATTAGCCAGTTACATATGTGGAAGATAGCACCATTGTTTCTTTGAGACACTAAAGGCATTGTTGGTAACAAGAGTGTGTTTTCCATTATTATCCTATGGCAGGAGAGTGGCTAGCTGGACAATTTGCCCTCAGAGAAGGTAACCATTGGGTCCTTGCCATTGGGTGGGCCTTAGAATTAGACTGGGAAAACCGAGTTTACGAGACATTTTATTATATATTTAATACTACTGCTACAAGTATCTATTCCTTTACACTAAGACAGTTTGATGTGTCCCATAGCCAGTGTTTGTACTACCTACTCCTAGTAATTTTTTTTTTTTTCAAAATAATTGGACCCAATTTAACCCCTGCTTAAGTTTTGGCTGGTTACTGTTTTCTACAGTGAAATAAAAACTCTGCAAACTAGTACGCTCAGATAATAGGACTTTCTGTAGATGTTGTGTGCCTTCAACTTGGAGCCGATAGCTGACCCTGTAGAGTGTTTTCAGAGGCTGTAATCACATAGGAGGAGATTGCCCCTCCTTCCAGAGAGCAGCTGGTGGATTGGAACCACATACCTTCGGGATCCCAGGGCAGATTCTTACAACTGGGCCAGAAAGCACTGAATTTTAGAGATGATTTAAACTGTCCAGGTGGTACTGCTTTTAGAGATAGTGCTGAGTAGAATTCTACAGGTAATTCCCCACCCCCCAGCATATAGCTTTACCAGTTACTTAACAAACTCATGTCTTCAGGTGATGATAGTTATTGTATAACCATCGAGTTGGAACTAACCCGTAGTTGACCTCCAGCAGGTTTTCAAAGGCAGTAAATCACAAAGGGAGGTTGCCCATCTTTGTTCTTTGGAGCAGCTGGTGGATCCAAACCATGAATGTTTTCATTGGCAGTGTAATTCCTTACCATAGAGTATATACTATAGAGTCTGTATAGAGTATATAAACATTGCTATATGCATGTAGCTATCTGACCAGGCATAGTCATTGATCAAAGCACTTGCCCATGTTTTATTGTGGTTGTGCACTGACCACTGTGTTTGAATGTTTTAGTTAGGTGCTAACAAGTTGCTTCTCACTCTCAGTCTTGCACTATCTTTCCATTTAAGGCTATGTCAGAGCTGATCATTGCAACCACTGTATGAATCCATTTATTGGAAGGTCTTCCTCTTTTTTGTTCTTCCTCCAACAAGAGTTGATATCCTTCTCCAGGGATTGGTCTCTCCTCTGTCATTTTTTAGGTCTTCCCACAGTATTGCCTACTTTTCTTTCACGTCACGAATTTTTGTATAATACTAAGCTGGATAAAGAACATAGTAATCTAAAATAGAAAAAGCCAAAAGGGGGAAGGGGAAACCACACCCCAGAACCAGAATTTTATAGATTTGTGGTCAGTGTGTGTTTTGTTACTGAAATTATTGTACAGTGTTATTTCTGTTGGTGCTCTTTAGATCAGATGAAAGTCCATGTGGCTAGGTATTTAGGAACTTCGGGATTTGAAAGAATTGATTTCCAGGTACTAGCTGACTTAGTTTACAAGTGTACGTGGCTTGGGCCAGGCTAGAGACTTGTTTTTCTTTGATGGATTTAGAATAGTTCTGGCCACCTTGCCTGCACCCACTCCCAAGCCACAACAAGGCCACAATATCTCCTCTTTATTTTTATTAGGATGATGCCTGATACACCTCATTAGAAGCCATTCTTCAGCTCCTCTTCTAAAGTAGTTCCCTAGGCTAAGATTAGCTTAATTTGAAAATAGATATTTGAGGCATTTTTTATTTTGGTAGAAAAATATATACGTACTTATGTTTTCATGCTTCCATTATCAGCAATTTTATTTTTTTGTTTTGTTCACCTGTAAAATGGGATTAACACATATGGTAGTGATGGGAATTATTTCAGAGAGACTTTCTTGGCTGAAAGTTGTTTTTATTGACATCGCTAAAGTCTATAAATCTGACCTGCCTTCATTGAGTTCTCCCTGTACATATGCTCACTTATTAAATACCTACCTGCAAAAGGTAAATATTTTCTGATTGTTTTTGTGGTGTTTTCCAAGTTGGCTTTTCCAACACTAATTTATCTGCAAGGAGAGACATATGCTTTAGGTCTGTACTTGTTAATTTACCTTGGAAAAATTAGGTCATCATCAAATCTGGCAATGTGGCTCTATAAACTTGGCAAAATGGACTAATTAAAAGCTTCCCTTAGAAAGAAAAATAAGGGGAAAATGATTAGTATCAGTAATGTTTTCATTTCCATGGTCTGTGTCTGTATAGGTATATGTCACTTCTCATGTTGCATTAAAAGTATGTTGACTGTCTGCTAATAGTTCATCTCTTTTCTTCCACAGCCTCCAAGTCTGTTATAAATAGTATGCTGCGGGACCCTTCTCAGATTCCAGATGGAGTTCTAGCAAATCAGGTCTATCAGGTATTAATCACAGCTGTCTATTTTCAGTGGCAATGCTGTTATCTGCCTAGCAGAGTAAAGGATTTTAAACCTCATTTAATTACTGTCATCATAAACTATCACTGAGGTCAGGGTGCACCATAAATGGCAATGCAATATTTGTGAGAAGAGCATTTCACTTTTTAATAGCTTGCTTTTATAGTGAATAAAAAACATGCAATTTTTGTTTTCTGTGATTAAATCCAAACAGCGTTTTGATAGCATTTTTTCCCTTTTGGAAGAAAAGCAATTACTGCTTTTAGGATACAGTTTAACTGTATTAGTTTTTATCTTCACCCCACCTTATACCCCTTCTCTTACTTGTCTGCAGTGCATTGTCAACGACTGCTGTTATGGACCACTGGTAGACTGCATCAAACAGTATCCTTTCCCATAAAATTTTAGGTGCACAATTGACGAGCTTAGACTCAGTAGAGGAGATGTGTCTAGCTTTAACCTGACATAAAGTTCTGCTTCACAAAACACATTTCATACTCTTCTATTTTACATTCAATCAACTGGAGGGTCACTGCAGACCATTCTCTCCTAAAGCTTAAGAAAAATCGGATGGGCCACGGGAAGATGTCAGTTCAGCAGTTGCACACTCGCCTGCTTATTTCAAAGCACTTGCTTTTCAATGAGTTTAAAGGTACAGAGTCATTAGGCAGGTAACACACTGTCTTGAATTGTATTTTACCATTCCAATGGACATTTTTTTTTAAATCCAATAAAATATTCTTTAAAATGAACCCAACCAGTTGAGTTTACTGGGATAAATTTTGAGCTGAGAGTTGAAGGTGATATGATTAAAATGCCACCAGGGACCACTGCATTTTAAAGTGCAGTAGGTTCTTATTGCTTAACTGCTGATTAAGATCTGAGCTGTCATTTGGATTCCTAATAAACATTTTTAGAGAAACCTTGCTAATTTCCCCCTCTGGATTCAATTCAATTTGAAAACAGAGAGCCAGTCATTCTTCATTAAAGACATTGTTTGTATGTATTATAAAGTATTCTCCATTACGTAAAGAGGCAATGTTTGCTTCTTAAAGCATAATTTGAGTGTATACTCATTTCTTCAGATGTAGGGTAACATTAATCAATAAATATAGTGGTATTGTAGTAACAATAAGTATATTGCTAATATACTTGATTGAACATATTATTTAAGTAGTGAATTATTATAAATTTTTATGAAGATTATAGGGACCTCTGTTGGCCTAGTGGCAAGAAGCTGAGCTGCAGTGCCAAAAGCCACCAGCCGTTCAGTGGGAAAAGGACGGACAGTCTCTTCCCGTGCAATTAACTGCCCTTGAAAATCCACCGAAGAGTCAGCTATTGGTCAGTTCTGACTACAGGGTACATAACAACGACAACATCTAGAAAACCCCATGATCCTCAGCCTTCTCAGGAATATGAAGATGTTCCCCCACTACAGTGTTTTTATTAGCATGTATGCACTGTGACCAGTCTTTACTAGATTTGCAGGTCAAATGTGTGAGTCTTTACATCTCTGACTGTCTATTTATAGCCCATCTTGTTTCACAAAGACTTTAAATCTGTAAACATTTTGTAATGATAACTTCTCATTTGCTCATTCATAAATAAAATTAACCTTCAGAATATAATGTTTTGTTCAAGACCTTATTACCAGAATACTTGTTACCTACAATATACTTATTGCTCACATCTCATCTCCTTTATCTTAATTGTGGAAAACACAGTGTTACCATAAGCTCGTCTTTCTATTGAACCCAAGAAAAATATCACTTCTATTTTTGGTATAAAATAAATGGTAGTATAAGGAATTTTCAGCATGTTAACCTCTTGTGACCACAGTGATAAAGTTTAGCACAGCGTATAGCAGCCAACACCGTGTCAGAGTGTCTGGGGCTGAATTACATGTTAATTTTAAAGCCCGTAAAATAGTTAAAAATCAACTTAAAGCTTTAAAAGTGCAATGTCTTTTGAAAGATTGCATATTGATTTTAAATATAACTATCTGATTATGTATGCATGGACTGAAGTATGAAGTCAACTGCTTTGTAAATGCCAAGAGGCTATTTTTCAGTAATAGTTGAGATGCTTACGGGAAACTAGACTGCCGTATTGCTGGAGAAGAAAATGGCTTGTGAGGTTATTTACAAGTTTTGCCCCATGGTCACTGCCATACATCAATAATAAGTATTATTATGGACAAAGTCTAAGTGTTTCTGCTTATAGCACATTATCAATTCTGTTTGGAGTACTTTCCTAACATTTTTGCCATCATTCACTTTCCATTTTTGGCTGTGTTCTTGCCAATGTACTTTAATGTAGTACATGATTTCCATTGATTAAGATAATAATAAATGTGTAAAAATTGCATTCACTGACTAGATTATAATTTTTACCTTTCTGTGATGCCTAATGCTAGTAAAATTACTGTTTTTATAAACATTCTTTACTAGACCTTGCATTTTATATATGTTTATATCAAACAAAGCATCTACAAGAAATATTTCTTTCCAAAATTTCAAATTGGTGATTGCTTTTATCATGCGAAATGAAGCAGACTGCAGTGTTTATAAATAAACTGATTTTTCTTTTTGCATTGAAGTAGTAACAATTTCACTTAATGTAAATACACATGTATAATATTTCCTACACTAAGCTACAGGCTACAACACATCATGGAACTTCTACATATTATTTATTTTGCACTATAAAAATAGTTGGTTTCCCACATGAGTGAAAATTATGTCTGTGTTATCCTGATAATTTGGTAACATTTACATTGCTTATTCTTGATAACTTACATAATTTTTTAAGAAAAAAGATTACATTTAATGGCTAATATACATGTAAAACCCTTTTACTCCATTATGAAAATGTTACATGCATACATTTATAAAAGTATAAATTGATAATTTAAAAGACACCACATATAAAGCACAACAGCAAAAATGTCACTACGATTTATTTTCCTTTTTATACCTATGTATTTTTTCCCTACATAGGCATGCCTATCTGTACCTTTCCTACCACAGGACGTATTCATTGCCACAAAAGGTGTGAGAATCCAGCCACCTCAACTTTGCAAACCATGACTCTAGCACACAATTAAATGGAGAACCAGGGGAAGATACAAAAGTGATGCAGTTTGTGGAAAAAGCTATGGGTTTCATTTTTGTACCATCAGTAACCTTAGTTTCATGATCCAGTGTTTTAGATGTAAATAATTTACAACAATAAAACTGAGAGCACATTTATGTGGAATAGATATAAATAATTTAGTTTGAAAATGTGGGATGCCCCTCGTAATGAGAGGCCAGCCAGAGATAGTCATCAGATTTCTCCAGTGATCTCCACAAATACATGAAATTTTGTGATTTTAAAAAGTTGGTTCTTTTGTGGGGTTTTTTCCTCAATTAAATATGAACAGTCACAGACATTAAAGAGAGGGAAGGAAATCACAAGTGAGTTTCTTTGGAGAGTGGTCATATCTCTTCATTTATAAGATAGAAAAGATATTGACTTATATGTACTAATAAAGGGCAGAATAATTCTTTAGGAACTTTTGACAAATACCATATATATTTATTTTGTTTTAGTGAAGTTGAGTTTTGCAGTGGATAATCAGAATCAAAGGGTCTTTGGTAAGCCAAGGAATGAATATGACAAAGTTGACATTGCAGTAAAATGGAAAATTAAGCTAACCATTCAAATAATTATGACCAGCTGCTTCTGACAGGATTAAAGTAAAAGAATACGCAAGTACTCCTTTGCAGACTTTATGCAATCACATCTCTTTAGAAAATATACCAGAATACAAAATCTGCTCTTGATGCAATCCTTGACTAGCCAGGGAAACTTTTTTTCTCAGCCTCCCTGAACCTTACTTATAAAAAAGGGCTAATATTATTACATAATACATATGATTGCTGGAAGGAGTATATAATTTGATACCTTAGTAAATGCAAAGGCATATTAATACTGTCAACAGTATGGATTGACACAGAGACATCTGAAGATGGCATAGAATCGGGCATGATTTTGATCTGTTGATCATAAGGTCTCTGAGTGAAGAGTCCACATGCTGGCACCCGACAAGAAGTTGAATTGTGTGTCTGCAGGTAGTGCTCAAGGTTAACTTAACTGGTTAACTTAACAAGGTTAAGTTAACAAGGTTACCTTAACTGCTAGCCACAGTGTTGGAAGTTTCTTCAGAGCCACAGTAGAGGAAAGACAATCTACTCCCAAAATGTTAGTCACTGACATCTCTATGGAGCACAGTTCTGCTCTCACAAAAGTGCAGCCAGAATTATTCTTGGAGGCAAGTATGACAGAGCTTCATCTCTTTGGGCAGTTTGCTAGGAGAGGTTATTCTTGGAGAAGGACATCATAGTTGGAAAGGTGGAGGCTCGGCAAAAGAGTGCAAGGTCCCCCCCAGTGAAATGGATTGGCATAGTGATAGCAAAAAGCTCAACAGTGTCAGAGATTGTGAGGATGGCTTAGGATAGGATAGGTTAGGGTTCAACTCTGTTTCCCTAGGGTTGTTCTGAGTCATACTCAACTTGACAACACTAAACAACAAACGCATGGCGACTAGTCTTCCTAAACAACTTGTCAAGTTGCCTTGAGAGAATTTTAGCATAACAGGATATTTAGAATGACATCTTTCATTTGCAAATATTTGTTTATACATTAAACAAATATCCATTAAAATCCACTGAAACATTATAGAAACACTCCATTCAATCATTTAAATCTCCTTCCTTATGCATGTGCCTCATTGTTCTGGTGGTATTAGTGTTTCCCTTATGGCATAATCCTGGGGTACTTTCCTTAATTAAAACTCAGTGCCATTGGACATGAGCATGAAGTTCTGCTGAGAGACTTGCTTCTAGAGAAAAACCTGTCCTTCTTAGGTAAGTATTGTTCACCTCTTCTCTTCTTTGGCTTCAAATATGTCCGTGAGTGCTTAAGCATATTTTTTTCCATATCTTTAACTTGCAGTTATTATGTACTAACAGAGGAGTGAACGATGATTGATGCATGTTATCTTTTATTGATTCAGAACTGAGCAGGAACTCAGTTACCTAATCCCCTATATATACCGTACATGCACAGGCTTGCAATTAATATTTTATAGAATAAGTGGCTGAAAATATGCTTTAATATCTGTTGCAGTATTACTTTTGGTGTCATGAGATATGAACCGTAATCGAAGCCTTATAAAAGAAACACAAGAAATATTATCTATGAAATGCTTTGTATATTAAAAAGAAGTTTAGAGAAATTTATGTTAGATATGTTTGGCTCATGTTTTGAATGGGGTTGTACTTTTACTTTGTAAACCAAATATTAAGCTTTTATTACTTTTATGCCAAAATGTTAATTGTTGATGTATATTTAGTATGAATTTTTTTTAAATTCCGTATCTATCCATATGTTTATGTGCCAGTGTGCAATCTTACTACTGATTGTTATTTCTTTCAATATCTCTTTAGCATTAGGAAATAAACCTTAAAGACCATATACCTAATAGCTGATCATGAAAACCATAAATCCTTATACTATAAATTTCTCTCAAAATTTTAAATATAATAATTATTAAAGGTTCTACACAGATCATTGTCTTTTAAAATATATATACATATATGGCATATACAAGACTAATAAAAACTAGTCTATTTTTCTCATTAGCACTGTGTATCTGAGTGGTTCCTGCTGTGATGGTTAAGGTTATATGTCTGCTTGTCTGGGCCGTGACTCTCTTGCTGTTGATAATTGAAATTGAAATAAATATTATTCTCCAGCAAGTAGTTATCCTCTGTTTTGTAATCTAAGGTGGTTATCCTTGATTTTTACATAACGCTGATTTTCACTTAACAACTTTGTGTTTGAAACCTATCCATGTTGATAAATGGGGGGGGATCAATGTATAGAAATTTTATGTGTGTGTGTGTGTTTGGAAGCAGGAGTGGCATCCACTTCCTAAATAACAAATAACATGCCTCCAGAAACTCTATGAAGTTTTATAAATGCCGATAGTTGTGCAAGGTCTTCAAGCCTTTCGTTCATACGGTTGCTATGAGTCGTGCTTGACTCAAAGGCAATCAAGAACAGTAATAATGTGTGTTTGTGGGGAGGGGTGGTATGGGTGTGTTCACACATATAATGTAGATATTTAAGAGTTTCCAAATTTATATTCTATTTAAAACAAAATATCACAGATCATTAGATTACATGTTTTTGTTTCAAAGTGAACAAAGAATTGGCTAAGGAAAATTGAATGCAGAGAAATGAGATGCCTTATGTCAAGTTGGGGAGGTGTATTGATTACAATTCTAGAGGGAGTCTCTTCTAAATCTTGTGCCCTCGAGCTGGAAACTACTCATAACTGACCTTCCAGTAGGTTTTCAGAGCCTATAAATAACATGAGAGAAGATTGTCTATCTTTATCTTCATGCTCAGTATTTTTATTAATGAACTAGAGAATAGAGTTGAATGCATTATTAGATTGTTGATAATTGGAATTATGATATAAAGACATTATTCTCTAGCGGTGTTAAAGTTCATACATTAATGAAGTTGTTTCACAGAACTGATTTAAATTTATATTTGTAAATGTACAATCAACTCTCTTGGCACCAGCAGCCAGGAAATGAAAAGACGTAGTGTGTTGGGAAAGTCAGCAGACCTCTCCAAGGTAATAAAGAGCAATGATGTCAGTCTGGAGACTAAGGTGTGCCTGAAACAGGCCACGGTCTTTGCAATCACTTGTTACACATCAGAGAGCTGGACAATGACTAGGGATGATAGAGGAGAATTGATGCCTTTGCGCTGTGGCGTTGGGAGTATTGAATATACCATGAAATGCTAGGACAACAAACAGATTCATCTCAGAAAGGGTAAGACCAGGCTGCTCCTTGGAGGCAAGGATTCTGAGGCTTCATCTGACATACTTTGGACATGTTGCAAGGCAGGATTAGTCCTTGGAGAGGAACATCATGCTTGGGAAGGTTGAGGGACAGCACAAGAGAAGAAGACCCTCAATGAGACGGATTGATTCTGTGACTAGGGTAATGAGGATAGGTGTAATCAGATACAATAAGATTGGCACTGGTTAGAGTAAGGTTTAGGACTGTTGTACATAAATGTTGTACATTTAAGGCTGCTATGAGTTACAGGTGACTCAGCGGCACATAACAACAAATGCACAAAATTATTTTGTGTAAGAACAATTGAAATTGGGATCTCTGACACACCTGTCCCTATTATCCCAGTCATTGTGTCAATCCATCTCATCTAGGGTTTTCCACTCCTGCGTGATCCCTCCACCCTTCCAAGCATGATGTCCTTCTCCATGGACTTATCCCTCCTGGCAAGTTGTTTTTACCCTCTTCAGAACAGACCTGTTTGTTCTCTTAGCCTTCCATGGTATGATGTGCAATAATATTCATTGTTGTTATTGTTGTTAAGTACTGTTCAGTTGTGGAAGACTCATAATGACCCTGTGAACGAAAGACCTGAACACTTGTATGACCTTCATCATTTCTCAAATTTCAGAGTTTCCGGAGACAAGCTATTTAGGAATTGGATGCCACTCCTGCTTTCAAGTCTGTTTTAATTGGGGAGCTCCACCAAACACTGTCCACCATGGGTAACCATTATTGCATTTGACACATCAGTGTCCGGGTTTAGCTTCACAGCAACCACAAGTTACCTCTGCACAGCAAATGGACAGACCACTGCTATACCACTTAGAAAAATGTTTGACCAAAACCAATTAAAACCAGGCCTGACGGCCACAGATTAAAACCACCACCTTTGGCTTGGAAGCACAACATTCTATCCACTATGCCCATAGTGCTCTCTTGTTTTAAGTGCCGTTGCGTTGTAGAAAACTCATAGTGACCCTATGAACAAAAGATCTGACCACTTGTAAAACTTTCATCATTTCTCCACGTTCAGAGGGTTCGCAAAGGCAAGCAATTTTGGAAGTGGAAGCCACTCCTGCTTCCAACCCTGTTTTAATCTGGGAGCTCCACCGAATACTGTCTACCGTGCGTAACCATCGGTCCATTTGACACATCAGTGTCGAAGTGTTTAACATCATAGCAACCACAAGTTACCTTTGTACAGCAAATGGACAGGCCAGTGCTATACCATTTATCCATAGTACCATACAATTAGCTACATGGTCAGACATGTAACCCCATATGCATCTATTTCTACCAATCACTGGGTCCAGTGTTCATTGCAAATTGATTCATAGACTTTACTCACACTTGTGGGAATGATTAGGGAAATAAGTTTGGAGTAAGGGAGGGACAGAATATCCCACAGTGCAAGTCCAAGTTTAGTCCTGCAGTCTCAAGCCAGATTAATAAGGCACAATTTCTCACTTAGCTCAGACAGCTTCTTGGCAAACAAGTGAAAGTGTAGGTTCACTTCAGCAGCACATATAACTTCTAGTTTCCTCAATTAGTCCAGAAAACTTTATCTCAGAGCAGTTACAAGTCAGCTTTTTAGTCAATCATCCAGCAAATAAAACCTTTAACTGTGACTCCATCTCCAGGTTTCCTCTGGTTATACCTTGCCAGAGTTTCTTGACAGCAGTGCCACAAACTCTTCATCCTCTCTCCACCAGTGTCTCTTCACAGTGTCTTCACATTCCTCTCACAGTGTGGAAAGTGCTCTCTCTTATATTGGTATCACAGCTGTTTATAGTTTGCAAGACCATGTGTCCACAGTGAAGTTAGCAAAAGATCATATCCTCCAACAGGGGCTAATGTATTGGCTAGAAGAGCCAATCTCTATGGGTTCTGATACTACACATGACCACACTTTTTTGGTTTTAATTTAAGACACCAATTAAGCTCTCACATTTTCAGAGCTGTCTGGTGTTACTCCCTAAGCACCATCTTGACCCTCATATTTTCAATTAACCCAGTCTCTGCTTCTTGCCTGGGAACTAGCAGACCTCACCTGAGTCAAAGAGCAAAAGGACTCAAAAAATATCATACTAATTGGCTAAATGAAGAATTGGTGGGGCAAGAATTCCAAAGGCATCACAAAGGTCCTTATTTACCTTTCAATGTATTTTCCCCCAAATCAGCCACGAAAAACCCTTAAGAACACAGGAATACATAGGTACATCAGAGGTTAAAATCGACTCTCTGTAGTTGGTCCAGTGTTTAAACTTGGTTCTTAATTTACTTGATTCTGGAAACAGAGTATGTGAGCCTTGATTTACTGTGACTGACAAAGACACAGATGGAACCCTGGTTTGAGCCCACTAGCCGCTCTGTGGGAGAAAGATGAGCAATCTCCTTCTGTGTGATTTACAGCCTCTACAAAGCCTCCGAGGCTCAGCTGTAAGTCAATTCTAACTCAATGTAAATAACAAAGGTAACACAGAAACGTGGGCAAAAAGTGACAACTACTTGTATGCATCTAAAGAAGGAGGCGTTGAAGTTGATAAACCACATCAATTCTTGTTTGTTATAGGATCTAGAGGTTAATTCCTTTCTTTACACATACCCCAAAATAATACTTTAACTGCCTTTAAAAATAAACAAGTTAAAAATAATAAATAAACAAGTTAAAGAAAGTTTAGCTAATTTCACAGCCCCTCAATTATAGACTGAAAAGTTTCCTCAACAGCATATGAAAAAGTTATTAATTTATTCTATACACTTTACGTATTTTAATGTGCTGCTGAATGAATACATTTATTAAGGTTAAAATATGAAAATTCAAAGCCTTATATGAGATGTTATTATGGTGATGGTGTTCCTTTACCTTGTAAATACCCCTTCATAATGATTAATTAGATCTAAAGTTCTATACCAGGCAAATGTAAATATAACATCAGTTTGAATCCAACTATGGAAAAATATTGGTATATAAACTGACCACT